TGTGTGTGTGTGTGTGTGTGTGTGTGTGTGTGTGTGACAAAGAGAGAGTGTGTATGTATTTGTGTGTATGAGAGAGAGAGAGAGAGAGAGAGAGAGAGAGAGAGAGAGAGAGAGAGAGAGACAGAAGTGCAGTATTTATATCTAATTAAAATCCCCAAATTAAATACACTGACAAGTACACGTAACCCGTCCACCCACACCACGCTGCAAGCTTAACCACAACACACACAACGCTGCAAGCTTAACCACCACACACACCACGCTGCAAGCTTAACCACCACACACACACACACACACCACTACTTCACGTGTACACCAGTACCTCGTATACAACACACCCGTAGAGAACAGTAAAGACCCCGACGATCACATCACAACGCCCCGCCATACCACTATAAACAACAGGGACACGCGAGGAAGGTGTATAGACAAAAGAGAAGCGTTTGTTGACGATCCAAGAGTCTATAGTTTCAGTGGGAAGGGGATCCAGTTGAACCACCATAAGGGAAGTACATTATCTATACTTTATACCTAAATATTACATACATATTCACACGAAACAGCTACCATATATACAAACCCCTCTACCTGCACATCATACTTAAAATTAATACAAACACAAAAGCTATTAAAAAAAAACCAACAAGTAACTTCATTTTATTGTTACACACCGGGAGGCAGAATGGCGGGTAACATTTTCTTCAGGGGAGACTTCAAAAAAATATTCAAAATATATCAATATATCAGGAGCCCAGCCACGATGTATTGACAGGTTAGTCTATAAAAGTATTCTCTCCGCCTTCAAGTTCTCTCTGCCTTCAAGAGGGTTTCTCCCAATTTTCTACCGGGAATATGACCTAAGGCTTTGTTCCGTTCCCTCTTCCTTTGGTCTCACCGCGACTAAGATAATTTGCTGGGCTGACTATGGCACCAGACTCAAGCCTTCACGTTAATAACCTTCCTGGCTTTTGGGGCGATTGGTTAGGTTAGGTTAGGTTAGGTTAGGATGGGATGGGATGGGTTGGGTTAGGTTGGGATGGGTTGGGTTGGGTTGGGTTGGAATGGGGTGGGATAGGTTAGGCTGGGGTGCGTGAATATCATACATACATGTAATGAAGTATACACGAGTCTTACACATTAAGTTAACGACACAGACCCGTTCTCTATGACACTATGCATTTTTAACACCACATTTTCTTTATGGTGAAGGACTGACTTATGTAAATGGTCTTCATCTTGAGGCATAATGGGATTTTTTTTTTTTACTCTATAAACTAGAAAAACAGAGTATGATGATGATGATGAGAGAGAGAGAGAGAGAGAGAGAGAGAGAGAGAGGGGTGTGTGTGTGTGTACGTCCCTCTATATACGTGTGCATATACTGTACGTCCGAACAATGTACACATATATATAAATTTATATTTGTATGCGTATGGGCGTGCGTTCACCGATCTGCAAAACACACACACACACACACACACACACACACACACACACACACACACACACACACACACACACACACACACAGGAGGAGGAAAAATTACCATGGAGACGAGGAGCCATGATGACACCACAGTCTCTCGTTCCCCCGCACTGTACACTATACTGCCCCTGATTTATGGCTCGTAAACACCCCCCCTCCCCCCATCCCTCTCCCCTCCCTCTTTCTTTCTCTACCTAAATCCCTTTCACTCTCCCCACCTAACCTTTCCTCACTGGGAGGAGGAAAAATTACCATGGAGACGAGGAGCCATGATGACACCACAGTCTCTCGTTCCCCCGCACTGTACACTATACTGCCCCTGATTTATGGCTCGTAAACACCCCCCCTCCCCCCATCCCTCTCCCCTCCCTCTTTCTTTCTCTACCTAAATCCCTTTCACTCTCCCCACCTAACCTTTCCTCACTGTCACACTACCACATTCTCTCTCACTCTACCACATTCTCTCTCACTCTCTCACACTAACACATTCTCTCTCACTCGCTCACATTCTCTCTCTCTCTCACACTATTTCATCTATCAAAGAGGACAGGTCAGGCACGGCCATTATTTTTCTTCTTCTTCTTCTTCTTCTTATTATTATTATTATTATTATTATATTATTATCATTATTATATTATTATTACTATCATTAAACAATAATTATCAAAAGGGATGTAAACTATATCGTAAACCTTAAATATTGTTCAGTATTTCCAAGTCACTTTACCTGTGATGGAGAAAATCTGTTTTAAGCTACAAATTCCATCACATTACGTCTGGTTCAATTCAATTTTCCAACACCTCCCTTTGGTGGCCAGGGAGGAGAGGGGAGGGGGAGGGGAGGGGTAGGGGAGGGGTAGGGGACGGGTAGGGGAGAGGAGAGGAGAGGAGAGAAGAGGAGAGGAGAGGATAAAATAGTTATTCGAGACTTTTCAACCGAGGCATCGAACCCATCTCTCGAAACCTGATTTTAAAAGTGCTTCAACTTCCCCTACTGCTCACATCAAATCTCTCTCTCTCTCTCTCTCTCTCTCTCTCTCTCTCTCTCAGCTTCCGTTAACCGGGTCATACTTGGAGGTAATATAACAACGTCTCAGTCTTCTAATTACAGTCTAGTCGAAGCTTCAGTCTCATCTGCTTCCAACACTGATGAACCCCAAGTGACAAAGACTGAGATGAGGGTATGGGCTCTGTCTGTCTGTCTGTCTGTCTGTCTCACCATCTCAAAACAAACACGTCACCCATCTTGATAGACTATGCTCACTGACGTAAAATTTCATTCTAAATTCAGCGCCAGACTGATACCACAGCACACCAGACTACAAAGAGACAAACAGACTGACAATTTTTGTATACACGACGCAACTCATGAATACAGACAGACAGACATAGCGTATACTGATTGCAATATCTCCTTCCAAGCGTAAGATATACAACGCGGGGAATAACAGTTCGCTCACTCAACAGACAGACAGACAGACACAGGATACATTAATTGCTATAAACCATTTATTATTGATACATAAATGAACACACGACACGCAAATAACAACCTCCACTTTATTAAAAACTACACACACACACACACGCACGCACGCACACACGCACACACACACACACACACACTTCAAAACAATAATTAATACAAGCGAGGTATAATTACAGTCGTCAGGTAAATTACAGCTAACTAACCAGCCTTTGAACATGTACTCAGAGTTAAGTGTTTTGTAATGGTGTAATGACTTAATGGGGGGTGGGGAGGGAGCTTATCCTTATGACGAGACGTGAGTGTATGGCCAGAGAGAGAGAGAGAGAGAGAGAGAGAGAGAGGTCACTATAACACTATTTTGACGTGTTATTAGAAAGAAAGAAAGAGAGAAACATAATAAAAGAAAGAAAAGTAGAGAGAACGATAGAGAAGCAGAAATATTTTAAAGAGTTAGAGACTGAAACAGGAAGTCTTTTGTTGATAAATTACAAGAATTAAAGGAAGAACACAGCTGTACCGGGGAGCTGTACTCTCTCTCTCTCTCTCTCTCTCTCTCTCTCTCTCTCTCTCTCTCTCTCTCTCTCTTACGTCAAATACGGTCTCTCTCTCTCTCTCTCTCTCTCTCTCTCTCTCTCTCTCTCTCTCTCTCTCTCTCTCTCTCTCTCTCATTAGGTCTCACAGTTCTAATGACCTTTAATACAAATGAAGCTCAGTAATAAAGGTTAATGTGAGTTACTAGAACTGGGGCCATTAAACTGTGGGGTCCATTAGAACTGGGGTCCATTAGAACTGGGGCCCATTAGTAACTGGGGTCCATTAGAACTGGTCCATTAGAACTGGGGTCCATTAGAACTGGAGTCCATTAGAACTGGGGTCCATTAGAACTGGGGTCCATTAGATTAGAACTGGGGTCCATTAGAACTGGGGTCCATTAGAACTGGGGTCCATTAGAACTGGGGCCTATTATAACTGGGGTCCATTAGAACTGGGGTCCATTAGAACTGGAGTCCATTAGAACTGGGGTCCATTAGAACTGGGGTCCATTAGAACTGGAGTCCATTAGAACTGGGGTCCATTAGAACTGGGGTCTATTATAGTTGGGGCCTATTAGAACTGGGGTCCATTATAACTGGGGCCTATTATAACTGGGTCCTATTAGAACGGTGGCCTATTAGAACTGGGGTACATTATAACTGAGGTCCATTATAACTTGGGTCCAATAAAACTGGGGCCCATTAGAACTGGGGGCTATTAGAAGTGGAAGCTATTGGGACTGTAGGCTATGAGAACTGGAGCCTATTAAGATCGGGGCCTATTAGAAATGGGGTCCACTTGATATCTCTATAACTAGGAAGGAAAATCGTAATATTTAATAATCAATATCTGAACGCAGTTAAAATCCCCCTCCCCCCCCCTCACCATAACAAATATCAAGCCTCGATAACTCCCTCCGTCCAGTGATGAGAAAGAATGTTGATATGTGAATACGTCTTAGACCATATTGTCATATATCCACGGAACAAGTTTGGCTTACTATTGGTCATCTTGCCTGTGGTTCCTGGACGCACGGACGAATAGACGGACGCTAGGTGGAAGACAACAAGAGGAATATTTAAGAGGTAAAATCACCCAAGAGATAAAACATAAGAGGAGCTTAAGGACAGACTTGTAGATAACATAAGCAGGTATGACCTAAACTCATTCCTCAGCACCCAAATACAACACGCAATAGAAAAGTCATAAAAACAATGCTTAATCGAAAAAAATATATTATAAAAAAAAATATTATTACCCACATTTAAGTCTTAGTAACCCCCATACAATACTATCGTGCTAAAGGCTTGGTGGACAGTACCGAGTGACCGAACAACATCATCCAGGGTACAGTACAATAGACCATACAGCCAACAGCACAGTACTCTATGGTGCACACACTATGGTATTATATACACGTAAACAAACAATCACTGTCCATAGTCTTATCACCATAGAAGTTGAGGAAGAAATACACAGGATATAACTTACTGTGGTCGGCTGTACAGGTGAGGTCGTCAACACGCTTACCTGAGGAGAAAAGGTGTGCGGTTAATTATGGTTAGAGACAGAGAGAGAGAGAGAGAGAGAGAGAACACAATAGCTAATTAATTAAATGAAAACGCGTGATAATTAAGAAACCATACATAATTAAACACACACACACACACACACACACACACACACACACACGAGTTATTATTAAAAACATAAACATAAACCACTTATCCTTAATATCTTCAAGAACATAGAGAGGAAACGCCCAGGTAAGAATTCAATTACCAGCAGCGACAAGACTAAGAGAGACACTCCCCCTTGGGCACCTCACAAGAGTTTAAAACATTAAGGAAAAAACTCTCTTGGGCGTATTATCTCGTCTACTTAAATGGGAATGGTAGGGAGGTGGTATGCAGGAGTGAGACGAGTTACTTAATTGGGAGTAGGAGGTAGGGAGTTCTTGTTCTCGAGAGAGACGAGTTACTTAATTGGGAGTAGGAGGTAGGGAGTTCTTGTCCACGAGTGAGACGAGTTGTCAAGCCCGTCCCTTCTATCTTGTCCAATAGGTTAAGTGTCAACGTCAAGCTATCAATCAATTGTCTAATAGTGTAAGGGGGAGCGAGCCAGTCAGGAGAGAGAGAGAGAGAGAGAGAGAGAGAGAGAGAGAGAGAGAGAGAGAGAGAGAGAAAGTTAGATTAATTTAGTGTACGATAGATTAGGTTAGATATGGTGAAGGTTAAGTTAACTTTCGTGAGCTTAGGTTAGGTTAGGTTAGGTTAGGTTAGATTGACGTCATGATGATTAAACTTCAGGTGAAACAAGCTGGAGGAACTAATCTTCAGGTGAAATAAGCTGGAGGAACTAATCTTCAGGTGAAACAAGCTGGAGGAACTAATCTTCAGGTGAAACAAGCTGGAGGAACTAATCTTCAGGTGAAACAAGCTGGAGGAACTAATCTTCAGGTGAAATAAGCTGGAGGAACTAATCTTCAGGTGAAACAAGCTGGAGGAACTAATCTTCAGGTGAAATAAGCTGGAGGAACTAAACTTCAGGTGAAACAAGCTGGAGGAACTAATCTTCAGGTGAAATAAGCTGGAGGAACTAATCTTCAGGTGAAACAAGCTGGAGGAACTAATCTTCAGGTGAAATAAGCTGGAGGAACTAATCTTCAGGTGAAATAAGCTGGAGGAACTAATCTTCAGGTGAAATAAACTGGAGGAACTAATCTTCAGGTGAAATAAGCTGGAGGAACTAATCTTCAGGTGAAATAAGCTGGGGATAACCTTTAGGTGATCCAAGCGTCTTCAGGTTTCTAATTTCCTCATAACATCACTTACTAGACGCTGCCAGTGACTTAAGGCTGTCTTGTACGCCTCAGCCTGTTATTAGTTTGATTCCCAAGACATTTAATTTTCTTTACTGAATTCCAGTCAATAATATATGTCTTCTGGACCCAGTTGACTGAATGTAAACAAGAAGATGAGCTTTTTCTGATCAGCTGACCGGATGTAAACAAGATACGCTTTTTCTTCTGATCAGCTGACTGGATGTAAACATGATACGCTTTTTCTTCTGATCAGCTGACCGGATGTAAACAAGATACGCTTTTTCTTCTGATCAGCTGACCGGATGTAAACAAGATACGCTTTTTCTTCTGATCAGCTGACCGGATGTAAACAAGATACGCTTTTTCTTCTGAGGAACTAATCTTCAGGTGAAATAAGCTGGAGGAACTAATCTTCAGGTGAAATAAACTGGAGGAACTAATCTTCAGGTGAAATAAGCTGGAGGAACTAATCTTCAGGTGAAATAAGCTGGGGATAACCTTTAGGTGATCCAAGCGTCTTCAGGTTTCTAATTTCCTCATAACATCACTTACTAGACGCTGCCAGTGACTTAAGGCTGTCTTGTACGCCTCAGCCTGTTATTAGTTTGATTCCCAAGACATTTAATTTTCTTTACTGAATTCCAGTCAATAATATATGTCTTCTGGACCCAGTTGACTGAATGTAAACAAGAAGATGAGCTTTTTCTGATCAGCTGACCGGATGTAAACAAGATACGCTTTTTCTTCTGATCAGCTGACTGGATGTAAACATGATACGCTTTTTCTTCTGATCAGCTGACCGGATGTAAACAAGATACGCTTTTTCTTCTGATCAGCTGACCGGATGTAAACAAGATACGCTTTTTCTTCTGATCAGCTGACCGGATGTAAACAAGATACGCTTTTTCTTCTGATCAGCTGACCGGATGTAAACAAGATACGCTTTTTCTTCTGATCAGCTGACCGGATGTAAATAAAGAACAGCTGTTAATCCAGTCAAATTACGTAACTCTAAAGCGGCATTAGGTTAAGTTAGACTAGGGTAGGTCAGGTTAAATTTGGGTAAGTTAAGATAAAAGATGGGAGGATATTTTAAGTTAAATTACGTTAGGGTAAAGAACGAATGTAGAGGTTAGGTTAGCTTAGGTTAGGTTAGCTTAGGTTAGGTTAGGTTAGGTTAGCTTAGGTTAGGTTAGCTTAGGTTTGGTTATCAATTGAGCCGAGCTATAAGAGGAGTGAGGCCGTATGATCCATGTACTCGATTAATTACAGCTATACTGCCTTACTTCTCTACCCTTTTATACGATACTGTGCTGACGGCTGTGTACCTGGTCTTAATGAGTATTTGACCCTACCTGTGTGTGTGTGTGTGTGTGTCCTCCTCTTCTAATTCTTCTCTTATTCTCTTCCATCTTTTTCTTTCCCTTCTCCCTTCTTCTCTCTCCTCTCTCATGCCTCCCCCTCTTTTCCCTCCCCTCTCATGCCTCCCCCTCTTTTCCCTCCCCTCTCATGCCTCCCCTCTTTTCCCTCCCTCTCATGCCTCCCCCTCTTTTCCCTCCCCTCTCATGCCTCCCTTTTCTCTCTCCCCTCTCATGCCTCCCCCTCTTTTCCCTCCCCTCTCATGCCTCCCCCTCTTTTCCTCCCCTCTCATGCCTCCCCTCTTTTCCCTCCCCTGTTCCATCAACCTCCCATTTCTTTCTGTCACTCCTTCACTCTCCCATTCCACCTGTCCCCTCTCACCTCTTTTCATCACTTTCACGTCTCCCTCCTTTTGTCTTTCCTTATTCCCTCTTCCCCTACCACTTCCTCTCTCCTTTCTCCCTCTCCACCTCCCTACTCTTCACTCTCTAACCCCTTTCCATATCTTTCCATTCCATCACTCCATTCCTTCTCTCCCTCTCCCGTCTATTCCCGGTAAACAATATACAGTAATTCCCGACGTTATTTCACTAACTCGCAGAATGCAATTATGACAGAGGCCTCGGGGTAACAGGGACTTATATTACATTTGTTGGTTGAAGGCGTCGAGTTTGGGGGTATTTAGTGGAGAATGTAGCTCTTGTTGTCATGATTATTTATTGTGTATGTGTGTGTGTGTGTGTGTATTCGTCGGAATTTTGTTTAATAATGATATTCTAGTTGAACACACACACAGGTCGGCCGTGGGGTAATTTTCACATTTTCAATACACTTCTGTTTTGGATTTTCGTGTCATTGTGACTAATTATGTGTGTGTGTGTGTGTTGTGAGAGAGAGAGAGAGAGAGAGAGAGAGAGAGAGAGACACTGCGAGTCTCTGTCATATTAAACCGTCTCATATCTTCCTTTAAGTCAACACATTGCGTCAAGTGACCTTCAACACTACACTGTGGCCAACCTGTCACCCTGTTTGTTTAATAATTATGACTTACAGGTAACGTCAATCACCCTATATATATACTGTACCAACCCTACCAAGTTTACACGACCACAGTCAGTGATCATTTGGAAGACCATCAGACCAGGGTGTAGAGCCTCTACCTGTCCTTATACCTGTACCTGTCCTTATACCTGTACCTGTCCTTATACCTGTACCTGTCCTTATACCTGTACCTGTCCTTATACCTGTACCTGTCCTTATACCTGTACCTGTCCTTATAGCCCTTGTAAGTGATCGCTTGCTCCTTCGTGCCCAGTGAACGTTTGAACGCTCATGCTTGGCTAGCGTACAGCGAATGAGGGTGCGCCAAGTCCGTAGACTTGCATGGTTTTTCATCGTAAATATAATGGTTAATTATTGTTTTCCTAAAGAAACCATCGACATGGGACCAGGTTTGTTCCACTCTACGAATTTTTTGCGTTTTTCCACCAAGTTTGATGAAAAACGATTGTGCCGTTTCGGCTGCCCAGAACAGACAGACACACGCCTAGTGCTATAGTATATTAGATACCTGTACCTGTCCTTATACCTGCCATTGTACCTTCACCTGTACCGTTATTGTAGTTATATTAATTAAGAGACACACCGGCGCCCACATCATCTAATATGTCGTTATTAAACCTGTGAGAGAGAGAGAGAGAGAGAGAGAGAGAGAGAGAGAGAGAGGAATGCAAGTTTATGTGTCTACTTTTTATGTATGAGTATGTATGTTTGCATGTACTGTATGTATGTATGTATGTATGTATGTCCGGTCTCCTGATCACAACACTGACCTATACGACTCTACCCACGACCTATACCTTGACCTATGACATATATCTTTGACATAATGACCTTGCCTACAAACCCAACACGGTCTTAACCTTTGACCCACGGCCAGACCTCTGTGACCTTCATCTCAGCACAGGTGTTTAAGTCTTTAGTCTTTACGAGTTAGTATTCAAAGACCTCGACCTGTTGATGCATCTAAACAAAACAACAATAAAATAAAATAAATACTGTATAATAAAAGAACAAAAACATTAATAAAACAAAAATAATTAAAAAAAAAACAAAAAAAAAACATCAAATAAAAACCATAATAAAACAAAACATAAAACAAAAACACACCGGCGCCCACATCATCTAATATGTCGTTATTAAACCTGTGTGAGAGAGAGAGAGAGAGAGAGAGAGAGAGAGGAATGCAAGTTTATGTGTCTACTTTTTATGTATGAGTATGTATGTTTGCATGTACTGTATGTATGTATGTATGTATGTATGTATGTATGTATGTATGCCCGGTCTCCTG